AATGCATAAAGCTGACAAGGTCATCGTCTTTCCCTATGCATAAATAAAAATAAAAAGAGGAAGGTGGAGGGAGAGTAAATTAGCTACAAAGTGTATGTGCACTGCCCTGGCCAGTGTGGTTCAGCAGTTAGAGCATGGGCCTGTGGACCAAAGGACCAAGGGTTTGATTCCTGGTCAAGGGCACGTACCTGGGTTGCAGGCTCAATCCCTGACCCCCAGTCCCCAGCCCCATCAGGCACATTCCAGAGGCAACCAATGGATGTATCTCTCACACCGATGTTTTTTTCTTTCTCTCTTCTCTCTCTCCCTCCCTTCCTCCCTTTCAATCTCTCTGAAAAATTAATGGAAAAATATCTTCAGGTGAGGATTAACAACAACAAAATAAAGCAAAAACAAAATGTGTGTGCACTGTCTGAAATGGTCTAATTTTTTAAAATTACCATTTTAGTTAAAAACAAGTCTTGGGATGCCCTAGCTGGTTTCTCAGTGGTTAGAGCCTTGGCCTCCGGACTGAAGGGTCCCAGGTTTGATGACTGGCCCCCAGTCAGGGTGTGTGCAGGAGGCAACCAATGAATGTGTCTTACTCTCTCTCTAAATAAAAACCAATGGAAAAAATATCCTTGGGTGAGGATTAACAGAAAACAAGCCTTGAGAGAAAAACACAAGTTTTTTTTTTTGTCTTTTATGTTTTTTCTCCATTATTTAGAGAATACTTTATTAATTTCTGTAATCAAACCCATGTAGATTAAGACCTTACAACATATTTAATACAGTGTGTTACCCCTGTACAAATGGAAAAAATTATGTTAAACATTTCTAAACTAATATGGCTGTTAATTTCTGTTCAATGCCAACCGAACACAGTACAACTGGGATAGTTTTTCCAAAGTTGACAGCACAGCTAAAGTTTCCAAAAATTCAAATTATATATATATATATATATAAAGACCAATAGCAGTATGTTATGCATCAATAGCAGCAACAGCTTTTTCCAGGTTCTGCAGTCATCGGATTTTAAAAGAATAATACAACAAAAGGTAAACCTGCTTAAGTCAAAAGAAATTTTCAATGAATCCGCACGGAAAAGAAGATGAAGGGTTGAAAATAAACTCGAGTAAGCTGACATGGCAAACCAGGGAGGGATGTCCGATTTGGCACTAACAAATCAGCTACTCCTTAGAAGGAAGCCAGAAATCAGATAGTGACGACGAAAAGCAGAGAACAGGAGATAAGATGAAACCTCATAATAAAAACGAGTATAATAAATTGCGGCAGAGAGCACAGACAAATGAATACGATGCAATAAATTTTGATGGATAGCCCTTGATGCTCAAGAAACAAGTGTTTGCCAAAAGCTGCTGAATGAATCATGAAATAAATGCAGCAGTACTTCAAGGGCACATTAAACAGTCTCAGGTCTTATTTGTAATTTATGAAATAGCTGTTGGAGCAGTTTGAGCACCATGGTGCCTAGAACACTTGGGAAAGCCAGATAGTGCATTTAGACCTGAAGGCGGGGGCTGGCACTGCCACCTAAAATATAACCCAGGCAGGCATTCAGACATTCGGCGACAGAAATGCACATTGCCTGTTCCAGGGAATCTGAAAGGATTATCATACATTAGGTTATACAATAGGAAGTGATCTGCATATTGGTGGGATGGAGGTCAAAGAATGAATGTATCCTTTATCCTTAATTAGATAATTTTTTGGTTTATAAAACTGTATCTGTTTCCTTTTAACAAAAACTTGTCACTAGAGTCTATCAAATATAAACTTAAAAATAGAAAATAACTGAGGGGGGGAGGAAGGGGAATAAATACATTTCCTGAGCATGAAATAAAACACTCATACTTCTATATATTACCAATGAGAGCTCACTTTGTCTGAAATAACTTAGAGCTTTCAGGCCATGATGAATTATTGTTCTTTAGGATTGTGCAGAATTCTTGGTGGCCTCTCAATCCTTCCTAAGCAAGGTCTTCTATCCTTCTAATATGGCTATGGAAGGCTGACACAACTCTAATATTCTAGAAGATTATTATTCTTTTCTTAACAAAATTTGTACAAAACACTATAAGATGCATTTGGTCATAATTTGGGGACCCCCTTCATAAAATGATCTTTGGAAAATGTTTACTGGTGGAAACACTATGTTGCCTATAAAGGAAGAATTAAATTTATACAAGAAGGATGCTCTATTTCCTGTAGAAAACAAGTGCCTAAATTATCTTCTACAAAGCCTGCTGGAAAATTCCTTGTGTAGCCACGCTGGCCGGGCTTAAAATTTGAAATGTATTATTTTTGATATTAAAGGAAGATGTGGATTCCTACATGAAACAGCCTGGGAATGAGACTGTGGATACAGTGCTAAAGAAGTTGGATGAACAGTACCAGAAGTATAAGTTTATGGAACTCAACCTTGCTCAAAAGAAAAGGAGGTAAGCATAGAAATTTCCAAGTTTTTAAAAAAGTTAATCTTGTATGACTTAAACTTTTAAAAAGTTGACTTTTTTTTTCAAATTCCAGCTCTGATCTAAATACCTTTTATTAAAGTTCTATGTAGCAATCTTCTTCCGTAATGGTTAGTGCTTTTGTATCCTGTTTAAGAAATATTTGTCTCTTCCAAGTCCATGAAGATATTCTCTTAATGCTTTATTCTTAAAGCTTGATTTCTCATTCACATTTAGGTCTATAATCCAGTTATTCAGAAGTGTGTTGTGCTAAATTTCAAAGCAATCGTGGGATTTTCAAGTATGTTTCTTTGTCTTCTCCACTTACTATAAATTGATAGTTGGATCTACAGTCTTGATCGTATTAAGGTGTTTTTTTTTTTTGGCAACATTGCTTCATAAGTTTATTATTGTTCTTCCATTAAGAGACATAGTATTTTGTCCCTTTTTATGATACTCAATGCCTAGATCCATTAATTATGAATTGCAAGATGATGATGTTCTAATTCAGTTGTTATTTATTTATTTATTAGTAAGCTGGCATACTTCTATAAAAAGAAGCATCCCCTCATGTACTACTTGGTAAAAGTGGCTGTAGGGAATCAGTTTCCCTCTCAGTCTCTTCCCTTGCAGGAGTCTTAGCCCTGTAGTTCCTCTCCCCCTCAGCAGCTCTCTGCTGCCTTCCAACAAAGAGGTGGATTTTCTCTGGCTCTTTGAGCGTTAGAGATGGGAGTGCTGGTCTGTTGCCATCTTAACCTGAAATAATTTCTGTCCTTTAAAAAAACTTTTTACTCTATTTTATTCGGTGCATGCAATCTGAGAATTATGTCATCTTGGTGAATTGAAGCCTATGTAAAATTATGCTGATTGTGTTGAAATCTGTTTTGTTGGATACTTACAGCTACCCCAGCTTTCTTCTGGCTAATATTACTTGGTGTATCTTTTCCAGTCCCTTTATTTTCAACCTTTTTATGATTTATATTTAAGGGTTTTCCATGTAAACAACATATGGTTTATTGTTGTTATATTCAGCCTGTCTTTTTATGTAAACAAATTATTGTTTTTAGATACTTTCAAGGTCATCTTCATTATAATTTGTCTATGTGTGGATAGCTTTCTTAACTTCTTAAATAACTACATTTGATCCTTGAGCAATGCAGGGGTTAGGGGTGTCGACCCCCCCCCCCAAGTCAGAAATCTGCGTACAACCTTTGACTCCTCAAAAATTTCACTATTAATAGCCTACTGTTGACTGGAAGCATTACTGATACATAGTGGATTAGCATATGTTTTGTATGTTATATGTATTATATATTGTATTTGTGCAATAAAGTAAGCTAGAGAAAAGAAAATGTTAAAGTCATAAGGAAGAGAAAGTATATATACAGTATTTATTTTAAAAATCCATGTATAAGTGGACCCACACAGTTCAAAACTCTATTCAGAGGTCAACCGTGTATGTCAGTTTCCTGTAACTATGTATACCTCTGTGGCTTGCCTTTATCCATAGAGGATTTTGCTTTTGCTCAGAGCTGTGAATCTATACCAGCCTTGAACCACTTGAGCGCTGTTCCAAGTTCTTGAGCAAGTCAGGGGTCTAGGCTCAGGTCTATAGCTGGTATAGGCACCTGCCTTATGATGCCTACTTTTTGCCTGCCCTCTCACTGCTCAACTCAAAGCCATTTCTAGTTTTTTTTCCCTTTTACTTTATTTTTTTAAATATGTTTTTATTGATTTCAGAAGGAGGAAGGGAGGGAGAGAGACATAGAAACATCAATGGTGAGAGAGAATCATTGATTGATTGCCTCCTGCATGCACCCACTGGGGATCGAGCCCACAACCGGGGCATGTGGCCTTACTGGTAATTGAACTGTGACCTCCTGGGTCATAGTTTGATGTTATTCAACCACTGAGCCACACCAGCCAAGCCCTTTTATTTTTTTCTGAAATTCACCTCACCTCTGTGATGTCAGCTATGTGTTTTTGCAGCAGATGGCTCTATGTAGCCTGAATACTAACCTTTTTCTTTACATATGTTGCAAATCTTTCTTTGCTGGGGTCCAGCCCCAGCGGTCCAGGGGTTCCCAAAGGTGTGGACGGAGACAGCGTTGATAGCTCTCTAGCTCTCTTTAGTCTCCTGTGCCTGGCTGAGGCCACAGAGAAAGATCCTGAGGCAAGCTGAGCCTTTATTTTATAGTCAGTGGTAAACTCAGTAGTGGTTACCAAAGTTACACTGTTCTTGTGAGTTTCACTTGTTTTTGTTCTTGTTTTTGCTGCACTTCCCTCAGCCCATTAGCTTCCCAGGTAAGATGTAGGGAGCATCATAAGGTCAAGCCTAATTATGCTTAAGAGGACTGTGCCCTCTAAGCTGGGACTTGTTTGTGACTTTGCCAACAGGTCAGTCCGAGGTTTAACCCTATAGCAGCTCCCCACATCTCACCCTTTTATTTTTATGCTACTATAATGAAAGTTTTTAAGCTACCATAATGAAAGTAAAACTTAAGCATCAAGAACAAAACTCTGGCTATTAAAACAATAACAAAATAATGCCAATGCAAAACCCAAAACATTTTAAAACTTAAACATAACATTTTTAAAACTACTAAGAATAATAAAACAATGGCAGTGCAAAACAGCAATAAGTAAGTTTCTGCTAAATGAAAGTTTTTTTTGCTGATTTACTCAGAGTCCTTGGACGTGGCTGTGCAAGACTGGCAGCTAACCAATGCTAACATAGCCAGAAACATGGTTGAGGGAGTAGCTTCCACTTCTTGCTTTTCTATCATCTGCTGGGCCTCAGTTGTTAACTTCTTCAGCTGACCCCATGTTGGCACCTCGGTCCCTTGCGTAGCCTTCGTCATCTTCCTTTTCCGCTTTACTGTCATCTGGGCAACTCTCAGTCTTTGGAATGATGGGACAAGGAGCTTCTCTGGGTCCATTGTGGTGACGCTCGTAATGCTCTGGTACCCAAATTGGCTACACTGCTCCTTCTGGAAAGATACAAAACACAACCTCTTCCCCACATCATTACTAGATCTGGTAAAACTCTTGGCTAGTTTTTGTATCCTTCTACCAGGCTAAACCAGCAGAGGCTATTGTACAAGAGGCCCGATGCCTTTTGGCTGCTGTACAACCCTCTGCATTGTAATTTTAAAAAATGTAGCATATAACATTCTTCTCCCCCTTTTTTGTTTTTATAGAAAA